CTGATCAGTTTCAGCAGCGGCTGAATCTGGATGCCAGTTCCGACTTACATACAGATTCAACTTAGGGACTAGTAGGTTTGTTCTTATCTTGTACGTAACCCGGGGACTGCCTGTATATATAAACTTCATTGACTTCAGTAGTTATATTTGTAAATAAATCTTAACAGAGCAGTATTTGGTGTATAGTTACAAAATATCTAGTGATCAGTTTCAGCAGCGGCTGAATCTGGATGCCAGTTCCGACTTACATACAGATTCAACTTAGGGACTAGTAGGTTTGTTCTTATCTTGTACGTAACCCGGGGACTGCCTGTATATATAAACTTCATTGACTTCAGTAGTTATATTTGTAAATAAATCTTAACAGAGCAGTATTTGGTGTATAGTTACAAAATATCTAGTGGTTATATTGTTACAGTAATTAATGTGTATTTATTTTTCTATAGGTGTCTGAAGGTAAATTAAATGATCACTTTCCTTTGGTGGTGTGGCAAACTGGATCTGGAACACAGACCAATATGAATGTAAATGAAGTCATAAGCAATAGAGCCATTGAAATAATGGGAGGTAAACTAGGAAGCAAAGATCCAGTGCATCCTAATGATCATGTTAATAAAAGCCAGGTCATTATTCACATTTTCAAATATTTTTCTGGTTGTTTTGCCAACAATAAAGCTTTCAAATAGTAGTTTTGACTAGAAAAATCCCAAAGTTCTTCTGAGTTTACTATTTTAATTTTTGTGCATTTGATACACAAATGGATTTTTCAGGTCTGAAATTTTAAAACCCTTCTTTAAAGCTTTTTTTGAATTAAGTGATGTGAATTAGATGGATATTAAATTACTGCTTTCTTGCACTTATAAAAACAGAATTCCTGCATGGGTGGGCTGTGGTTCCCAGGCTTGCAGGCCCTGCTCAATCACATGGTGCAACCATGCTTCCTCCTACTGAGGCAGCTGCCAAAACCTGAAAGAAAGTCAGGAATAACTGCTGGGAGTTGCAGGGAAGGGTTACTGTTTCCTGACAGGGAAAACAAGGGTAAAGGGGAGGCCTGCTGTGGAAAGGGCATGACTCAAGTTGTTCCAGGGGTGATTGAACCTTTATATTATGCACTCCTGCTATCTGCAGGTATAAAGTATCTCTACCCAGCAGGATAATAACAAAGCTGCATAGAGTAGAGCCTGCATCTAGGTTTTGGAGGGGTGTGGGTGGGTGGGGGTGGGTATCTGGTTCCATGGCTGGGTTTAGGAGGGTTGGGGGGGGGGGGGGGGGCTTGCCCCGGTAGGTTTTGGAGGGGTGTGGGTGGGTGGGGGTGGGTATCTGGTTCCATGGCTGGGTTTAGGAGAGGTTGGGGGGGGGTGGGGGTCTTGCCCTGACTTCTTTGACCTTAGACACATCACTTAATGTCTCTGTATCCCAGTTCCTTATGTAAACTAGGATACTAATTTCTTACCTTATAGAGGTTTTGAAGGTAAATCCACTAAAGTGTAAATGTTATGTGAAGCACTCAGGTACTATAATGAACATTAGAGAGAAGCCTGTAAATAATGAGACTTGAACTTCCTTCACAGAGCTCAAATGATACATTCCCAACAGCAATGCATATTGCTGCTGCACAGGAAGTTAATGAAGTGTTGTTACCTGGACTACAAAAGCTACAAGATGCACTTGAAGAAAAATCCAAAGAATTTTCCCAAATAATAAAAATAGGACGCACTCATACACAGGATGCTGTTCCACTTTCTCTTGGTCAGGTATAAAACACTAAGCAATAGAACCTTGTACAATGTTACCCGCTTGTTTGGAGCATTATTGTAAACTAATGGAGGTAATAGATAATTTTCCTCAAGGTACATATAAGTGAAGAATTTGCATAGCAATTGAAGACAAATTATTGAAGAGCAATAAAATCTTGATCCAGAAAAATTATCCTAGGTTCATGTTCACTGAAAATTAATGCACAAATGCACAAATCATCCTAGGTTCATGTTCACTGAAAATTAATGCACAAATTTTTCACCTATTCCTACATGTATGTGTGTGGAATCTTTCTTTTAACCAATGAATTTCAAGGAAAAAAAATCACTTTGAGTAGATTATATCAAGACTGCAGAAATAAATGTGAAATATATTTAAAATTGTAAGTAAAAGTAGACTGTTGTTTGAGTATTACATATGCTTCTCTCTCTTTTATGCCAGATGACCAATATTATTGAAGGAATTTGGTGGATTACTCTAATAACTCTTACTATTAAATTTGCATTAAGTTATTAATATCTGCAAATGTTCAAGCTGGAAAAAAATACAGAACTCTAATGTTTATGGTAGTAATAATATTTTTGGACAGGTGTGTGTGTGTGTGTGTGTGTGTGTTTGTGTGTGTGTGTGTGTTTGTTTGTTTTGTTTGCGTTTTCAATTGATAGTTCCCAGAAAGGAATACCTTGTCAAGCTAAAACTTGTATCAGCAGTTATCTCTATTGCAGTAGCATCCAAAAGATCCAGTCAGATTTAGGCCTTATTCTATACATTCATAAAAAGACTGTTCCAACCATTTATACTTTCAAAATCTGAGATTTTGTCTACTCATAGAGGTTGCTAATTTAAATGTGTTTTGAAATCAGTTTGGTTCCTGTGTGGATGCTCTTTTGATCCAAACACGGCTAAAATTGATTTAGATTAATTTGATAAAGATTTCACTTTTTAAAAATTGAGTGCCCACACAGGTTTTGCCCTGTCTGAAATATTTTTTAAACCAGTTCCAGTTAAACTGATTCAACTTTGAGTGACAACACGTCCTAAGTCTCCTTGATCTTGCAGTCCATACCTGAGTGGAATATGCTGACTCATGCAGCCTCTCAGAATTTATTGCAGAACAGGGCCCAAGATGAGCAACCTCTGAAAGGTAA